ATCTTTATTTTAAAATATTTTGTGGAAAATAGTTTTGGGACAGGAAAGAAAATAGATAAAAGAACAATTAATCTATAATTTCAGCATAATTTGTTTTCATTTTGCTATATACAGCCCAATAAAGAGTGTGTGTGTGTGTGTGTGTGTTGTATCTCCCCTTATGTTGCAGTTATTTTTCTTTATGTTAATTTTTTTCCTGATTTTATTGTGGACTTTTAGAGAATTGAGATGAAGTCTCCCTCAGAAGACAAGCGTATAATAGAAACCCAATAATGGATGAATATTAAAATTTATAACCAACTATTATTTCTTTTCAGCTGGAGCCCAGATGCTTTTGTGTGTTAAATAACATTTCTGTTTTCCCATTTCTTCTCTTTTTGTGTTACTCTATTCAGTAATTGGCTTTCTGGTTCATGACTGAGAACCATCATTTTTATTTGTGGGCATGTTGTGTCAGACTAATCATTTGGAAATCTACTTTGTTAGCATACAAAAACATTTCTGGTTTGTTTTTTCTTAAAAAAAAATCCACCCTGTCTTTTCTATGGTACTTTTGTTAAGGAAAGGGGGGGGGAATCACCAAACCTTTAAAAGGCAAGATTACTGCCTTATTTCTCTTGGATTGACCTAAAACATTGCTAGGTACCTAGTTATTTTCTTAGTCAATATTTTCGTTAAATTCAGCTGAGTGAAAACAAATTGTTTCAAGCATCTTTAACTTTAAATATGTAAAATTATAAATAAGTTTTCTTCTTTGAGAGACTTTCATTCCACTTTATTTTACCTTTATGTCTTAGCCATGGAGTCAGAACTGACCCATAGCTGACCCTCCAGTGGGTTTTCAGAGACAGTTAATCACATGGGAAGAGATTGCCCATCCTTCTGAAGAGCCACTGGTTGCTTCAAACTGCTTGCCTTTAGGATTGTAGCTCAGTTTCTTGCCACTAGGCCACCAGAGATTCCTGTGTCTATTGCATTCATATTTTAGTGGACTTAGGCTATGGGACACAGACACTTATAAGATGGTTGGGTTTGTTTTTTATTGTGAACCCATAGATGATACGACCGTCAGTGTCAGAAGAGTGATATATTTGTTATTAGGTGCTGTCAAGTCAACTATGACTCACAGCAACTCCATGAACAACCAATTGAAACTTGTCCCATCCTCTGTCATTGTGATGATCTCCACCATGCTCAAGCTTGTTGCACACTCATTATGTCCATTTGTCTCACTGACAGTTTTCTACTCGTCACTGACCTTCTATATTTTGGAGCATGATGTCTCTTTTCCAAGGACTCGTCATTTCTGACAACATGCTCAACATATTCTTAAACCCATGCTCAGGTTTGATGACTTTTCTAAGAGTATACAAAGGGTTCAGCATCTAGCTGTACTCGTGATATTTGACGGGGGTTTTATTGTTTGTCCTGCTAAGATTATAGCAGGGAGCTGTGGTGGCCTAGTGTCAAGAAGCTGCACTGCAATCCTGAAAGCATGTGGTTTAAGGCCATCAGCTGCTCTGCAATGGAAAAGGATGGGCAGTCTCCTCCTGGGTGGTTAACTGCCTCTAAAAACCAATTGGAGGATCAGCTGTAGGTTGATTCCAACTCTATAGTACACAACAACAGACTATTTGTAAGTCTCAGGTAGACATTATCTCAAATACTTGGCCAGCTGTATAAATCCATAATTTCTAACATTAACAGCTCATATGTGGTCAGTGCCCCAATTCCTCTATGGCCTCTGGGTTCAGTGATTTGCTAGAAGGTCCTCCAGAGACCCAGACCCATCAAAGGAATAACTCATGTGACTGTAAGTATGCAGGCTAGCCTTTTTTTCGTAGAAATTGGTGAAGTGGATGCAAGTGTATGTTTAGTTCACTGTATAAGATTTCTCAGTCCAGACAACTTGTCATCCTCCAGCAGGGCTAAGTTAAGACAGTAGCTCTCCTGCTCCTGTGTTGGTGTTTTCACACACTTCACAGTGTGGAGAGCACTCTCTTATATTTATCCTACAGCTGTTGATGATTTGTAAGACCATGTATCAGAAGCTAAGGTGATTGGAGATCATTCCCCCAGCTGAGCTAGGAAAGCCAATTGTCAAGGTCTCTCACACCACAGACAGCAAACGACACTGAGCATAATCAGCAAAGGGAGAAACTGCATGGGGCAAAGCCCAGAAAGAACCAGGCAGATGCTTCTAAATGTCCCCTCCCCAGGGAATGGGTACGTATAACTCTCCAGCACTGAGTGATGACAGCATTCATGAAATTCTGTCCACACAGGGAGCTTTTAAAGACTCAATGCCTGAGGTGTTTACTGGGGTCTTATTATGTAGGCAGTCCCCTATTTAGCATACACCAGAAGTCTAGATTCCAACAAGAAAAGCCAATCCTTCACCTAAATCATATTTTTGTACCAAACATTTAGGTTCAGTGAACCACTCTCATATATTCTGAGAATGGTGACCATTCCCCTAAAATCTAAGCCCCCGGCCAAGACCCATCCATGCAAGCAGGTCTCTCAAAGGATAGAAGTCAGGCCTCCTTTGTTGGTGCTTTTCTACATATGTTATACTGTCTTAACTTACTTTCACGTCAAGAATCACAAGTTTATAAATCATAATTTTTATACTACATATTAAATATAAAAATACTTTTTTTTAAAGAAAAAACCCAACAAACCCTTGTGTTCATGCTGGTCTATAAAGGGCCCAGATGCCTGACAGTCCATGTTGTCTTCTGTCTGTGTTTTGGGGTCAGAGTTTTGTACCAGATTAGTAACAGGGCCAAAGTGGATGAGCTCTCTCCTGAAGTTATGAGAGGACTTGTTTTTTAAAGCCCCTTGAGAAGACAGTCTCCTTGAAAATGTGACAAAGATGCAGTCAGACAAGCACAGATAAATCTGGAGGTGAGAATGTTCCCAGGAGATGAGGTGGAGTAAAGACCTTGAGGTCCTAAGTGAGAGGGGTGAGCGAGATCAGGAGGACGATCTGCCCAGAAGGAGGAGGATTGCCTCTTCTTTCTGAAGTTTTCTTTGTGGTTGTTATTCTCAAGAGAACTGACTCTGTGAGGGGAAATGGACCTGAGGCAAAGTCATGGAAGTGGCCTTAAAAATAACATCTTTTTACCTACTTGTATGGAACAGTCTGTTCTTTGCCACATTCCTTCACTGTGGATGCCCTAAGCTGGGCAGTGAGAAAACACCATTATCATTGACCAAGTAATACCAACTGATAAGGATGTGGTTAGCCACACAGCAGGCATCAGACAGCCCTGGGTTGGGGATTTATTGCATTTCTGCATTTGACAATAACAAATGCTTTGGTAGTAAAGTGGCTATTTGTCCTCCCAATAAATATTTATTAATCTTTTTTTTATCTCATTTTAGTTTTTGGCAAGATACCACTCTTCGTACTTAGGTACTTAGATACAAATTTAGCAGTGAATTAGATGTAGATTTTGTCCTTGAGGAAGAATGAAACACAGGTCAGGAAAAAATGTATTATTTATAAAAGAGGCTGTCAATAGAGTGCCTTGGTAGATTAGAGGAGTAATGTTGCATTTCACAGGACATGTGGGGGAAGTTAGATTCAAATACTTACGTTCATTCGCTCATTTAGTATATAGTGCACATTTACATATTATGTACTACTTGAAGAAGACACAAGGCATGTTGTATTAGGCAAATCTACCACAGGATAGAGCAAGGTTTAGGGCTGTGCAGGTGAATCTACGCCATACAACAACCCTAAAGTACTCTTTAAAGTGCTAAAGAACAAGGATGTCAGTTTAAAGAGTAAGGTGCACCTGATCCAAACCGTAATATTTTCAGTTCCTTCGTCTGCATATGAAAATTGGACAGTGACTAAGGAAGAGTAAAGAAAAATTGATGACTTTGGATTGTGGTGTTGTCAAAGAACATTGAATATCCCATCAACTGCCAAAAGTACAAACACATCTGTCTTGAAGAAAGGGCAACCAGAATGCTTCTTAGAGGCAAGAATGATGACATTTCATGTCGAGTATTTAGGACATGTTGTTAGAAAAAGACATCATGTTGAGGGAAGTAGAAGTTTCATCAGAAAAATGGAAGACCCTCAGTAAGATGGATTGACGCTTTAACTGCAATGAGGAGCTCGAGCATGACAGAGATCTTGAGGATGGTCAGGATAGAGCAGAGTTTAGATATGTTGTTCACAGTGTCTCAGTGAGTTCCAGTTGACTTGGTGACACTTAACAACATATAGTACCTACTGTGTGGAGGACTTAAAAAATCAAAGAACCAAAAATGCCAAGTTCTTAAATTGTAGTGAGGAGAGAAAAGCAGCAAATAAGGACTTAAGAAAGTGCTAAAATGGGAGCTTTGGTTACTCAGTGGTAAGAAGCTGCACTGTAATCCCTAAGACACATGGTTCGACTCCACTAGTTGCCTCGCAGAAGGATGAGTCATTTTCTCCGATGCGATTAACTGTCTCTGAAAACGCACCACAGGGTCAACTGTGTGTCAGTTCCAACCCAATGGTATACAACAAACAACAGTACAAGAAAACAGGAAGCAGTACCCTAGAGTGGTCCAACGCTGCGCATGTTACCTAAATGGGTAAAAGTTAAATTGGTCTTCCGAAATGTGTCTTGTGCTTTTGAAGTTCCACGGATATAAAGTACGTTCTTCATTTTCATAGCAAATCAACAATATTTCTACACTATAATTTTTTGTGCTAATAATGCTATATAAAAAAGAAAACATTTTCCCTGCTTAAAAAAATTTATATAGTTATTGAATATTTCTAGCTACATTAAAAATAAAGTATCATTTAAAACTGGGGGGAAAAAAGAAAACAGGAAGCAATGGTAGATGTAGAGAATTTTTATTGCTTTTAAGTGTTTTTAATGTTAGCCTCATATTCAAGTTGCTCCCTAATATCCTGTACTGGTACTGACCAAAAGTTATTCAGGAGGCTCATTGTAAAAATATATTTCCCCCTCTTCTCTTTGCAGCATATATTAAAGGTGGGTGGATCCTCAGGAAGGCCTGGAAGATTTATAATAAATGCTATGTGGACATCAATGCCCTTCAGGAACTGTATCAGAAGAAGCTAACCGAAGAACCCTTAACTTCTGACGCTGCAAATGATAATCACATTGTGGCTGAAGGGGTGTCTGAGGAGTCTCTAAACAGACTGAAAGGTGCTGTTAGCTTTGGATATGGCCTTTTTCACCTTTGCATATCCATGGTACCCCCCAACCTGCTCAAAATCATCAACCTGCTGGGTTTTCCTGGAGACCGCCTACAAGGGCTTTCTTCACTGATGTATGCGAGCGAAAGTAAGGACATGAAGGCCCCTTTAGCTACGTGAGTAGCTAGCTATATTGCAATGCTTTGGTAGATAATATAGTGTTGAAAGTAAGTAAACTACCATCAAAGACTTTAAAGGAAACTGCAGGTAAAATGTGTGGTTGTTTGACATGATGCCATGCCTTTTAATGAAATGCTGAGGACTGTGTTTTTTAAATGAAATATTGAGGATTTGTGTCTTTTAATGAAATGCTGAAGACTGTGTTTGGTGGTGGTGTTTGAGATGGCTGAGTTTATAAACAGACTTTAGAGGACAAGACCCTATGAACACATCATATGACTTAGAAATCTTATGAGTCTTATGATTGTATCTTTCACCATCAAATGATTGTAAAAGTGGTTTTGTGACTTTATACACAACAGCTGAGATTTATAATGTTAATTTTAGGATGTTGTTGTTGTTGTTGTGTACTACCAAATCAGAACTGACCCTAGCTGACACTCCAGTGGTTTTTCAGAGGCTGTAAATCACATGAGAGGTCATTGCCCATCTTTCTCTCTCGGAGCAGCTGGTGGATTAGAACCATGCACCTTTGTATTAGTGGTGCAATAAGTGATTGCGGAATCCTCATTCCTATAAAGAATCTTCATTTTGGATAATTTCTCTTGAAGATTCTGAAAGGTCAGTTGATGGCTTATACATGGTTGGGATACTTGGTTCTGTTTCACTAAATAAAGTCCTGTAAACTTTGAACAGGAAAGCATTGGGAAACTTCTATTACTCTCCAGAGCAAGAATTTACTAATTTTTACATCATTCATCAATGATGTGATTTTTTTCCACTCTACAAGATATTTGCATTTGAAGCAATTTTACCAAACAGCAGCCATACTTTCTCTTGTCAAAACATTTTATATATATATATATATTTAACGTTGACATCGTAGCTGACTTTAGTGACTTCTCCCTTTGGTACTGAAGAATTTCCATTTTAACTAATGATTTGATAGCTATTAAGTTTACGATTAATTTTTTATTTCAAAATAATCAGTGCCTTCCCAAACTCATTAAATTACACAGTAGCCCTTTGGAATTTGACTGTAAAGCTCTGTATTTAATTTGTGGTACTTAATTTCAGTCTATATTTTCATATTATTTTTGCTTACCTCTGAGAAAGGCTTGGATTTCTTTAATAATATCAATTAATATGTTCTCCTCCAGAGACTCAAATTCATGGCACACCAGAAGCCTTCACCAGTATAAAAATAGTTGATGTGTTGGCTAAGCGGTGTTGGTTTACTGAGTTTCATGTAATATTTTTCTTGAAAGTAATGCATGTCAGTTAAAAAATAAGTAATTTACTTGTTTGTTTTTAAGATTGAGTATGCCCAAAATGACTTTTCATCTGATCCTCTCAGTTATTTTTATCTGACTTATTGTGATTTGTGATATTAAGCCTCTCTGTTTAAAATTTGGATTATGAGGCTTACAACCTAACTTTTGTGAACAGAGGAGAAAATAGCACTTTATATTCTTTTGCAAAAATTAATGGTTTTCTTCTTATGAGAGGACGGAGTATTTACAGTGACCAGTTATTGTTTTCAGGATTTTTGCATTGATGAATAAAATGAAGAGTTCTGAGGAATAACACGTCTATTCCATGATCTTCTAGCAGTCACAGTTCTCCCCTCACCTAAGAGAAGGGAGTGTGTCAGCTAATATTGTCATTTCCCAAATATTGATATAGTTTGAAATGAAGATATACTCTGATGTAACGTTTTCAGAAACTATAGAGTAAGCTTTGGGGAGGCATATACAGATGCAAGCTACTGACCTTAAGAAAGTAGAAACAAATAGAGAAAAACTGTTTGCTCAGCATCTCTCTCCCTCTTCCTTCAGATTAGCTCTCCTGTGGTATCACACTGTCGTGCGCCCTTTTTTCGCCTTGGATGGCAGCGACAACAAAGCAGGTCTGGATGAAGCTAAGGAAATTCTTCTCCGAAAAGAAGCTGCTTACCCAAACTCTTCTCTCTTTATGTTTTTCAAAGGACGAATACAACGATTAGAGGTACTATGCCTTCCTCATCTTTTTAAGATAAAACGTCTTGATTATTAAATCTAACAGTCTCACTTGGGGAGTCTGTCAGCATGTGGCAGAAGGTCACAGGGCAAAGGAACGTCTTGTGCATGTGCTTCTCATTGCATCATTGTTACAGATGAATCTTCCAGAACCCCGGTTGTTAGTCACTTACCTTCTGTTCAAGAGATGTGGGTGGAGGAGGGAGAGATTCTTCATTAATGAGACAAAACTGATGTTTTCTAAGCATAAGCCATATGATCATTACTAATTCCGTTAAAAAATCTAGAAAACAAGATTTCCCCCCCTTGAATTCCTAATAATTTCTTTTCAATTTTAATCTTGACTAAAAATTTGTATAAAGTTACTGCCTTACATGTCAGGACAAGAGTAATTTTGAGCTAAGTACCATGGATCAGGGTTGTGTGTGACATTATCTGATTTAATCCTCAAAGGCTCTCTATGATACAGGTGTAAAATTGCCACCTGCATTTTATAGAAAAGACATATGAGTCTCAGAGAGAAGTTCAAGGGTCTTTCTGAACCCCGGCTTCCTCCCTCTTCCTCTCTCTCTCCCTCCCTCCCTCCAGAACAGTCTCCAGCATATAAAGGTAGGTTTTCTCCTTCTTCTTTGTATCTTATTATATTTCCTTGCTTGAGAACTATAAGGGCTTGTGGAACCGTGAAATAGGAAAATTTATATAAAAGGTGATTGCCATGCTAGATGCAATAAGTATATTCTTGTCAATGCTCATAATGAATCATTGTGAGGATTTTACATTAAAAACCTGGGCAGACCACACAGCCAGTTCTTGAGATCAATCCCTAGCAAACCCTGATGTTGCTTTTGAAGACATTTGTCCAGGAACACTTTCATGGGGACAAGAATGGTTTGCTTGCTGATTTTTGTTTGCATCCTACTTACTTTCCTTCATGTAGTCAGACTCCCTAAACCTAAGTTCCTGATTCTGAAGCCCCACCAAGCCAATCTCTAATTATTTAAACTCTTCATATATGCATTTTCAGTGGGAACCAGCAGTTGATAATTGCTACACAGCACCAAAAGGTCACCAGCATCTGAATTATTTAAACCTATGCCTGATTTCTTTTCCTTCTCAATATCTTGAAATGTTTTCTTTGCATCCAGGCTCTCCCAAAGGCTGTATGTCATGTCTCCTTCCCCCCACCCCCCTTGCTGTTTTAAAAACAGTTCTGACCTGACTCTCATGCCATTAAATGTGCTTGTCAAGATTCTTTCCTTTCAAAGTCAGCACTAGGGACCTCCTTTCAGGAGATGTTCCGACTGGCAGTCCCCCTTCTCCCTTGGGGTTATGCTGCAAAAAAGAACATGTAAGAGGCAGTCATAAATTGACGAAGCCTTCTCACTTCTGTGACCGTTTTTGGAATGAAATTTGGATAAAGCATAAAGGTTTTCTTAGTTTTGTGTTTAAAGGGCAAGCATTATATACATTTAGAATAGCTCTGACCTTGATGATACCAAATTCAGCGTTTTACAGGGATTTGCTGGCTGTGGGTGAGGCTCATGATTTAGTATTGTGTGCAACCCATTAATGAGGCCCTGTAGCTCTAAACAGTCATTAGAATCCTCTCTCTTTAACTCAGTGATTAATGAAGGCTCTAAATTGGGTTTTAAAGCTGCAAAACAGATATGTGAAAACAGGTCAGAGCTTAAATTTTGCTATGCTGAGTGCTTTAGTTAATTTTTTCTTTCATATTTTTTACCCTAATTTTACTTAGTTAATTTTTATTATTCAACCTTTTTTTACCCACACTTTCCTTCATTATGCTTCATATAATCACACCCATACATTATGTTTTATAAAATTAATCACCATTGGACTGTGCTCACCATTGCCAGTGTTTTCAGGTCCTTACTGAATCTTACCCATTTCTTTTACCCCGTTCTTCCAATACTACATACCTTGGGAGAGACTGGAGAGCATTTTTCTGAGTGAACTAATTCAGTTTCATAAGGATAAATACTGCATAAGACTATTACTGTAAAAATAGAAGGATAACTAGTAACACATTATATGGGGATCCAGGGGGAGAGGGGGTGGGAGCAGAGGGCCAAGGATGGGAAGGGGCAAAATCACAGGGTTGCACACATTCATTAATTTTTTTATTTTCAAATGCAATTGCTTAACTTTCAAGTGAAGAATTTGGGTTTGTTTTCCCCCTAAAAACTTAAGTTGTATGGTTTTGGTTTGTGCCACAATTCATTGCCATTAAGGACTGAGTGAATACTGAAAGCAAATGGTCATTATTGCAATGATTCTAAAATGAGAATATCATATCTCCCTCAAAGACATAGGTGGGTTTTTTGAGTCACCTAATCAAATGCCTGAGTTGTCCTAGTGAAGAGTATTGTATATACCATGGACTGCGAGGCGAACAAACATCTTCATCCTGAAGAGGGTGAAATCAGGCTCCTTCCTGGAGGCAAGGATTCTGAAGCTCTGTCTCACATACTTTGGGCATGTTACAAGGAGGAACCAGTCCTTGGAGGGGGACATCATTCTTGAGAGAGTGGAGAGACAGTGCAAGAGAGGAAGACCCTTGATGAGATGGACTGATTTAGTGACTGGGGTGATGGAGATGGGTGTGTCAGAGACAGTGAGGTTGGCTCAGGATAGAGCAGGGTTCAGAGCTGTTGTACACAGGGTTGCTTTGAGTCACAAGCAACTCAAGAGCACATAACAACAAAAACAAGCCTGAGGCCCAGCAAAATCTGTCAAATGTCTCCTGAGTTTTCTCTAAGGACCAGAAGATGAAGAGATTTTAAGGCTAACTTAAAATGTGCTTGGAATGATCCTCAAGTACCCAGACACCAGCGTGTCATTAGTCTTCCTGAGTAAGCATGCAGGAAGGAATCAGGTAGAGGCATCCTTCATTTGCATAGGAGGAACACTGCCCGGGCAGATTTGGAAATGCTTTTGACAAAAGGATTTTTGTAAGTCCCAGCACAGTTTATGTAAAAACACACGTGGCTTAAGGTGATTAATGAATTTGCTTGCAAAGACTCATCTCTCTTTTCAGGGAACATTCAGGCTGGAGACAAGCCTCCTTGAAATCTCCTTTAGTCTAAAACCACTTACACAGAACCTGACTAGGCCTGTGCTTCATGCAGGTGCACCGTATGACATCACGTTAATTTCTGCAGTGACTCAGCCTGCAGATCTACGACAGCAGCCACCTGGGTGTCAGCCCCCTGCCTCGCAGGGTGACCACCTCAGGACGTGCCACTTGGCTCTCATGTTTCTTTTTTTAGCTCTTTCTTGTATAGTGTCCTGCAGATCAACGTTTGTACTTTCCTTCTCACCTCTGCTCAGTTTACAGTTCCACCAAAGGGGCAGAACCCAGCACAGTTTTAAAATAACAAACAAGTCTGTCTTTGGAAGGTGTACAGCCAAGCCTGCCGCTGGGCGGTGAGGTGGTCAGACTGCATTTCACATGCTTTGGGCATATTTTCGAGGCCCAGCCCCTCGAGAAGGACATCAGCTTTGGTAAAGAACAGAACTAGTGAAAAGGGGGTAAACCCACAAGGGAATGGAGTAGCCCAGTGGTTGCACCAGTGGACGTCACAAAAGGGATGATGACGATGATGCAGCATGAAACAACCCTTTGTTCTGTTTTGCGTAGAGTTACGAAGACTTGATGGCACCTAACAACAGCTCCCACACCTTTGTTAGAGTTCATTTTTCTTGGGTCCCTCCAAGAATAAGAGGGGCACTTTAATCTTGTGTCTCTCTTTAATCCATCCTGCTGGTGGGAGGGACAGAAGATCTCTGTAGTTTTATTTACCAACTAGAGAGACCCCTGAGAGAAGGGCTGGCCAAGATGCCATGTGCAGAGGGGGCTCCAGCCGTGCTGCCCCACCCCTGGGCCAGGCTCCCGTTATTGGAGCGCTTGGCTTTGCTTTCACTGCAGGGCAGACCTGCCTCCTGCACTTGAACAGCTTGCCCTGTCAGCATGATGTAATGTTGATATTTATAGGCTCAGGAAAAAGGCAATGCAGGAAGAGAAATCGTTCCCTCAAGACCTGATAATTGTAGTCTTTTCTTCCTCCCTCTCACTTTATTGTCTTCTGTACTCAGGCACCAAGGCTTTGGGTTGCCGTTTATTCCTCTTAGTTCACAAAATGAGGGATTGATTTAACCTGATGAAAGGGAGACAAGAGAGTGTTACTCCTCTTCGCCCTCTAACTAGGTTCAAATTATTGTGTCCTGGAATAAGATCACAGGAATGAGAACAAGATAATAACAATTAAAACTCAGAATCAGGTTGTCACTGTTAACGTGTTGCCGCAAATGACGGTAAAAAAAAGTGTGTTTCTAAGCACAGTCGTCAATTCAAAGTGTGCGGCAACGTGTTGAAGATACCATCAAGTTGCCTTCTAGCGGCCCTATGAACAGCAGATCTGAACCTTGACCTATCCAGCTCCAGCCCCACCCTCTCTGATACATTAGAGCCCATTGTCACAGTCACTAAGTGGGTTCATCTTGTTGAGGGTTTTCCTTCCACCTTTCCCAGCATGATGTCATTTTCCAAGGACTGGCAAGTAGGAGGTCAGTATTGATTTATTAGCTCTAAGCTCACTAAGTGTGCATAAGAGGATGAGCTTTCTGTGGGTGTGCGGCCGAGGTGAAAGGGCAGAGGGGTTAAGTACATGCTCTATTGTTAGGTGTCCTTGATGACCACGTGGCCAAGCCAGTTTCGCTCTGAGGTGGCATTAGTACTGCATTGCTTGTAAGGAATAAGCCTTCACCAGGGCAATTTTTTGTAGTTCAGGTGACAAAGAAACCCTCTCATTTTAAAACGTTGATGCAACAATAAGAAATTATGCAACTTTTAAAAAATAACAACCCAGTGATAAGTAAATCCTAATCCATTTGACTCAAATATTTTGCTATTTTAATACACACATTCGAGGCTTTATGCAGCTTTGTTTGCAAATCTACTATCTACAT